AAATCAATGGCTTATAAAACATATTTCTTGTTCACATTACATAAGGGTTGCTGGGTAGGACACATGATGATTAGCTACCATCTGGTCCATGCTGTTCTCATAGCGGGGTACAAAAACAAAAGAAACAGCCATTCCAAGAACATTAATTAAAGCTTGTGCTCAGATGTGGTATTCGTTATGTCTGCTAACAATCCATTGGCTTAAGCAAAGGGGCACACTTTATCCACTGTGGTTGGTGCAGAGGATAAGGGTGAGGAGAAAATGAGTATTTTGGTTACTTCTCTACCCAATCACAAAACTGTCTGTTCTCTGTCTGACCCTCTCTAAATACTGTGTGCTCTAGATTTCTGTTCTTGTTGCCTTTTTTTATCCCACTACAATTTTCCTTAAGCCAACCTGTCCGTATCCATGGTGGCAGCCATGGATGACACCATACAGACATCTGGTATCTTTAGCACCACTTCTCTCCTTGATTTAAGACACACATTTTCCCCATGTATTGACTATCTCTACTCAAATCCTTCCAGAATTACAAATGCAAGTTATGCAAAAAACAAAACAAAACAAAAAAAACCTAATTTATTAGTTTATTACTTATCTTGATACTCCCTAAATTTGTGCTTTCCTTTCATGGTATGATTCATCTAATACAATCCCTAGCCCTTCTGCATGTTAATCATGAACACAAAGCCTTGACTCATTTTTCTCCTTCTCTCCCTAAATCCAAGGATCACCATAGACACATTCAGTCTGCTCCAATCCCCACCCCTACTGTCCTGGCCCATGGCCTTGCTATCTCCTGTCAGCAGTGAACCACTGTAATAGCCATCTAACTGGTCTCTCTTTCCCCGGCTTCTAACATTCCACAGCATTCCTTGAACATAACATGCATGCTCTCATCTGAGTGTCTTTGGACTTACTTTCTGCTTCCTTGATCTTAAAGGGTCCTCCTCCAATATGCACATGGCTCCTGCCCTCACTTCCTTCTAGTCTGTGATCATATATTATCTTATCACATTGCTTTCCCTGAACACCCAAAATAAAATACAATACTTTCCCTACAACCTAGCACTGTTTTTTATACCTGTTTTTTTTTTTTTATGCTTATTGATTTATTTCTGAGAGGCAGAGACAGAGACAGAAGCCCAAACAGGCTCTGATACTGGGCTCGATCTCACGAACCACAAGATCATGACCTGAGCTGAAATCAAGAGACAGATGTTCAACTACTAAGCTACCCAGGCACCCCTTTTTTTTTTTTTTTTTAGTTTATTTATTTATTTTGAGGGAGGGGAGGGGCAGAGAGAGAGAATCCCAAGAAGGCTCCACACTGTCATGCAGAGCCTGATGCTGGGCTTAAACTGAGGAAGCATAAGATCATGGCCTGAACCAAAATCACAAGTCTGACATTTAACCACAATACCCAGGCACCCCACTCCTGCTGTGTTCTTATTGGGTGTATCAATACCTAACATATTTTATTTATAGATTTACTATAGATTTGCCATTTGTTAATCATGTGTTGTCTCCATTCCTGAGGGCTGGGGATACATCTGTTTTGTATTTCCTCTATCCCCAGCCCCCAGAATGGTGCTGTGCATGTGAAATATTTGTTAAATGAACAAATAATAAATTCCTTTTCTACTTATTAATCTATCTTGAGTAGATTCCATTTTATGCAAATGTACGGGGTGATAAAGGCTGCTACTCTACCAGAAGCTTCTATATCCTGGAAACATTAGCTGTTGTGGCTTCCAGGCCTGACTTTGTTTGAGATCCCTGGACTCATTTTATCAGATCTATTCCTAGATGGTTTGTCTAAAACGAGTGCCCTTAAGTCCCTACACAATGGTGAGAAGCATTTTTCAATAATAAATCTTTGTAAATTCCTCTCAAAAAGTTCAATATTAAATAGAAACACTTCTAACCCATAAACATATAATAGTGATTGAAATCAAAGCTATATAGTTGATTTGCAAAAGTGAAAGCTGTAATGTTGATTGTCATGGTATATGAGCTTTAGATGATTTTTCAGAGAAAGCTGACTGATCTCTTGATGAAGAAATGTTGGGGCACAAATGTAGTAAAGACTATTTTTTTTTTTTTACTAATTTTTTCTTAATTTACATCCAAGTTAGTTAGCATATAGTGCAACAACGATTTCAAGAGTAGATTCCTTAATGCCCGTTACCCATTTAGCCCACCCCCCCGCAACCCCTCCAGTAACCCTGTTTGTTCTCCATATTTAAGAGTCTCTTATGTTCTTGTCCCCCTCCCTGGTTTTATATTATTTTTGCTTCCCTTCTCTTATGTTCATCTGTTTTGTATCTTAAAGTCCTCATAGGAGTGAAGTCATATGATATTTTACTTTCTCTGACTAATTTTGCCTAACATGATACCCTCTAGTTCCGTCCATGTAGTTTCAAATGGCAAGATTTCATTCTTTTTGATTGCCAAGTAATACTCAATTGTGTATATACACCACATCTTTTTTATCCATTCATCCATCTGTGGACATTTGGGCTCTTCATACTGTGGCTTCATACTGTGGCTATTGTCGTTAGTGCAGCTCAATATTGCTGGGTCATAGGGTAGCTCTATTTTTAACTTTTTGAGGAACCTGCATACTCTTTTCCAGAGTGGCTGAACCAGTTTGCATTCCCACCAGCAATGCAAAAGAGATCCTCTTCGCCAGCAGCTGTTGTTGCCTGAGTAGTTAATGTTAGCCATTCTGACTGGCATGAGGTGTTACCTCATTGTGGTTTTGATTTCTATTTCCCTGATGATGGGTGACATTGAGCATCATTTCATATCTCTGTTGGCCATTTGGATGTTTTCTTTGGAGGAGTGTCTGTTCGTGTCTTTTTCCCATTTCTTCACTGGATTATTTGTTATTTGGCTGTTGAGTTTGATAAGTTCTTTGGAAATTTTGGATACCAGCCTTTTATCTGATATGTCGTTTGCAAATATCTTCTCCCGCTCCTTTGGTTGCCTTTTAGTTTTGCTGACTGTTTCCTTTGCTGTGCAGAAGCTTTTTATTGTGATGAAGTCTCAATAGTTCATTTTAGATTTGGTTTCCCTTGTGTGGAGTAAGAAGTTACTGCAACCAAGGTCAAAGAGGTTCTTGCCTGCTTTCTACTCAAGGGTCTTGATGACTTCCGGTCTTACATTTAGGTCTTTCATCTATTTTGAGTTTATTTTTGTGTATGGTATAAGAAAGTGGTCCAGGTTCATTTTTCTGCATGTTGCTGTCCAGTTTTCTCAGGACCACTTGGTGAAGAGACTGTCTTTATTCCACTGAATATTCTTTCCTGCTTTGAAACACTAGTTTTCTAGAAAAATACTTGTAATGACCTTTCCAGTGAACCTTTTGTCTTTACTCTTTTTTTTTCACATTACTTTTTTTATTTATGAAATAATAAAAGTAAAAAAGAAAAATTATACTAAAGTTATAAATGTAAAACATATCCATATGAAACATGGCCATAACAATCAGTACAGATGTTCAAATTCCACATGTTCTCCTCACTCTTATTTCTTTGTTGTAAAGTGGAACCAGACTATTCTAATTCCCTGATTTCTGCTACTGAATGTAAGATCCATAGGGAAGCAGGTCCTGTCTGCTCTCTTCAATCCTGTACACGCCTGACATTGGCAAGACACTTAATAAATATCTGTGCCACGAAGAAAAAAGAAGTACAAAAGAAAGCCAGTGATCTGGGGCTTAGAATGGGAGGTGAGAGTGGGGAACAAAAAGCAGAACAAATAAAAGTGAAATAATGCTTATAAAAACTCATTCACAATGTCGTATCAGAAGAAATTTAAGTAGAATACTGACATCATTTTTATTAAATACTTATTGCTATATGTAAAGACTTCACTAAGCCTTAAATTCCAAATAATTTGTGATAATTTAAAAGCAGCTTTGAAGAATAATTTTTGAAAGCTAATTGACTTGCCACTGTATACATTGTGTTAGCCAATTTGACTAAAATAAATTATGCTTAAAAAAGCTAATTAACTTGTTACTCTTAAAAAAAAACTTAGAAAAGGTTTACATAATGAACTCATTTGGGTAAAAAGATAAATGAATAAAAAATTCTGCCAGAATATAAGAAACTATGAACAGTGGTTTTCTCTGGCAAGGACTAGACAGCCCACACAGATAGATGGGAACATTTCTTTTTCCCTTTATATGCTTTTACACTGTTTAAATTTTGTTTTTTACAATGAATATATATATATTATAATAAAACTCTCATTGAGAAAAAAGATCCAATTTGAATTTTTGAAACTAAGACAGAAATTTAGAAATTTTAATCTCTTTAGAATATATTGGTGATGGATAATATTATCTTTATTTTTTTAATGTGTATTTATTTTTTCAGAGAGAAAGAGACAGAGTGCAAGTGGGGAAGGGGCAGAGGGAGAGGGAGACATAGAATCTGAAAAAGGACCAGGTTCTGTGCTGGCGGGGCTCAAACCCACGAACTGTGAGATCATGACCTGAGCCGAAGTTGGAAGCTTAACCAACTGGGCCGCCCAGGTGCCCTGGATAACACTGTTTAAAGTTCACACTTCCTATTCTCTTTACTAAAATATGAGAATAGGCAACAAAACAGACTTGGGCACAAAATGAGACACATACCAATCTGATCCAAAGCAGGACAAAATACTTAAGAAAGAAAATTCCTAAAAGGTGAATTTGCAAACATCTACCTACTAGTTTCTGTTAAATATTATCAGTGATCTTTATTATAACTGACCATAAGTTGAAATTTAGGGTTTTGAGGTTTTCCAAAAAAGAAACTATTACATATTTAGTAGAATCAGGTACAGGACAGACTCAAAAATAAACAAAATCTAGTTGCTCATTCTAGTAATATTCTAGGGAAAAAAANTAGAGATGTTCTATAATTTATCCGACACCATCTAGGTGGCTTCCAGAGAATAGGAGATTCTGACCCACTGTCTCACTTGAGTCTCCCATCCTCATCCCACCTTTATTACTCAGCCTTGTGAGGCTCTTCTTAGTCTGTAGAGGTGTCTCTGTGAAACCTGAAACGCATTTTTATATCAAATGAGACTATGGATGGCTAGATTCTCAGTCCACAAAACCCTATTAAACCCACAACATTGTGAAATATATACAGTATTACAGAACCTGTGGCTCATAACTTGGTTTATGGAAAAGACTAAATCCAATTAGCAAGTCTGAACACCAGGATCACATCTCTCCCTGCTACAATGTGAGCAGGAATGGGGCCTTTATGAACTCTAAGCCATTGTTGTTACCTAGAGCTAGACAGGCATGGCAAGAGGTAAGGGATTCAGACTGCTGAGTCTGGTAAAGAAGCAGTGAAATGGCTGGAGTGGAAAATAAAAAGAGCTTGGAAAGAAGCTATATAAGGTGAGAAATGCAACTGGCAGTTTGAAGTAGAGCCCTCAGTAAGGCAGTCTTCCCTACCTTTTTCTTAGGTATTCCATCTGACTACTGTGTAATGCTGAAGTGCGGCCAGGGAGAAAGGGAGAGGAGAAATGCAAAGCTAAAATTTTCCTTTTCTTTTGCTCCTTTCTATCTTGCTATCTATCCCCCTCCAGTCAGATGTTAGCATTGCAAACCCCACAGCTAAATACACTGGTTGATGAAAGAATGGAAGCTGGTGAAAGAGGACAACATTGTGGGGTTGGCAGTTGAGAATGGACAGATCCTAACTAGAACATGAAGGATAGGGAAATGGTCATAGCAAGATACAATTTGATTGCTCAATAGTATCTAAGTCTGATGGTTACAATGGTCTGGATTGGCATTTAGCCACCTGATTAACAAAATATCAATACCTCTATTAAGATTTGTAAGAATATCTCAATCATTTTATTCTCTTCTTTTTATTTCCTCTTATACATTTCTTAAAATGTGGTTTGGATTTTTAATTTTATTCCTTAATATCTGGTAACATTTTTTACTTTCTTATATTATGGCATTTGATTTTTTTCTTTGTTGATTCATCCTCTAACATCCCCACTAGCCAACTCAATTGCTATGATCTTCCTTTCTTTTTACAAATAAATATTAACTATGAAACTCTATGTTTGCAATATAAAAAATGACTATACTTATCAGCATTCTCAAGTATACAAACAAAGCACAAATTCCATAAAGAACACTGGTCCAAAATTACCACTTGTATTTAATTCCTACTTAGGAACTATCTCTCTCAAATTACAATATATATATAAATGATACTTACCCTACTAGGCTTATATCAGCTATAAGTTTTAGATCAAGGTGAATGACTCGTTTCTGGCCTTTCAATGGTAAGAAATTTGTAAGTAGTTTACCACCAAGACCTCCTTCAGCTACCAAAATTCTGTCTTTCTCTTTATTGAGTTCTCCTATAATTTTACCATTTTTATCAGTTACTGAAATACCCACAGGTACAGGAATTTCACAGTCTTTTCCTCTGGAGCCTTTCAGTGCACTAACTCGACTATTTCCTCCTTCTCCAGCCACAAACCATTTCTGAGGATATTTGTCTTTAAGTTGTTTTAAAGTCATTTTATTATGGGCTACAACCCAGACATCGCCACCTTTTCCACCTTCTCCACCTAAACGAGGGTAACCCATTCCACCACTTCCTCCCCTCGTGAAGAGTCTTAGGTTATCAATGAAGTTTCCATACTTTCTGAACCACACGCAACTGCACCGCACCATAACTGCGACGCCCCTTTTGTCTTTACTCTTGCCTAATTTGCCTTTGAGTATAATCTCTTCTTGGCTCCCCACTCCAGAATCTGTATCTGGCTCTAATCCTCCCTCTGGCCTCTTTGGAAGTTAGTATATCTCCTTCTAGACATAAGCTTTATAATGTGTACCACTAATCACATGAGGCTATTTAAATTAACATTAATTAAAAGCAAATAAACTAAAAACTCAGCTCTTCAGTACCCTAGTCACATCACAAGCGCTCCATAGGCACATGTGGCTGGTGACTACTGTACTGGACAATACGGAATGTTACAGAACATTTCCATCATCTCACAAAGTGCTACTGGACAGCACTTGTCCAGAACCTTAGGATCCCACTTCTAAAATCCCAATTGTTGGTTTGTTTATTTGTTTATTTATTTAACTTGCTCACTCTCAGCCTTTGCCTCAGCTTATAATTCCCACTGCAGTTCCAGCTCCTGGAATTATAGCAATGGGTAGATCAGCCCTTTGTCATAACAAGGCAGAGATTAGATAGTGGCAAATCTGCTTTCAGGTCGTCATTTACATTAAAGGTAGTAATGATGTTAAAGTTGCACTTTGCTTGAGAACAGGGATAAGTGCTGATCAGAGAAGACTGTTGTATAGGAGGAAGGGAAAAGCAGCAAGAGGTAACAGGAATATGGTGGTAAATCCCAGGGAAATGGAGGTAATTAAAGTTTCAGGGAAGTGGACAAACAAGTCAAGAAAAACAGGCAGGACCATGGAAAAATGTGCTTCCTTGTCAACATGTAAAAGACATGAGAATCTGACTCAGGAGAGCCAAAGTTTTGCTTACACCTGGACTGTGCAGAGTCTACTATCTGTGCTATGCCAGCAAGATCCCTGCGTCATGAAAGTAGTTTTATAATTAAGGGCGGGGAGGGGGGGAGAGGAAGTAATTGAAGGAGGGCCACTCCTTGGACAAAGGCTTGGGTAGGAATTTTAGATGGGTTCATGCTCTTAAGTCACAAAAGGGAAGAACACAGCTAATATATGATAAGACAAGTCCTTTCAGGACTCGACAGAGTGCTACTGGGTCATGTGTGGAATTCCTGCTAAGAATTTTTCTTAGAAAGAAAATGAAGATGCTCAGGAGCCAGGCTAGGAGAAAGCAAACTATTCCTTCTCCCAGAGAAGTGACATTCAACATCACCTGAGATGGAGGGCTTGCTTGCCAGAGCCCAAGGAGAGAACCAAGGTGCCAATGGAGGGGATGTGCTTATTCATCAAGAAACAAGGTCTTAAGTGAAGTAATTGGGTTTTAATTATAGATGTCAGGCATCATGAAAGATAGGGAGGGGATGCATTACTGATTCTGATTCCCTGAAATCACACCACAAAGTCTATTTCTTTGTTCTCAACTATCCACTTCACTCCTACCCCACCCCCGGAGACAGCGGAGCAATTATGCTGACACTGAAATCATTCTATTAGTGAACATTCTAAAAAAGCAAGTTGATAGAGGCTACAAATGCTCCAGCATGCTTTCAATTCAAGCAAGAGTTTCAAAAAAGCTACATTTTTACATCATTTCCAGGATCAAATCAGTAGATTAAATGCTACAAATGGAATTCAAGCTATTAAAAAATGTGTAGCTAAGTCTTTGTATAAAATAAATTAGAAATTTATTTCAACATGTACAAGCTGTTCTTCCTCTGGGCCACTATCTCTAATCTGCACAATTTCTTTTAGAGACATAGGAATACAAAAGCAGAAAAATGAAAAAGAACAAAACAAAACAAACCACAACCAGCCCTTAAAATCTTCAATGTTCTGGAAAGCTTAGTTCCTTCTTTCAGAAGCCTAGCAAGAAAGTATTGATTTTCTCAGAAACAGGCAAGGATCAGCTAATTCCTTGAGGCAGTTAATGGTTTTGTTGTATAAGGTAACATTTGTTATTTAACAATTGTTTCACATTCAAGGGCTTATCCTGTATGTGTTGTGAAGAGTCTTTCCCAGTGGTAGAGGACCAGATGGAGGCCAAAACACAGAAGGGAGGTGGAAACATAAGCATGAACTGAAGATTATATGCATCTGGACTGGTTTGGGTGGATGAGATTTAAAAATATTATCATTCCAACTCCTGTCCTTACTATCTACTCTCAAAGTGGACCTTTGAGGAACCATTTGAGTGAGAACAAACCCCGTAAATCTGCCATTAATGAAGCATTTACTAAGGAAACAGTGTTGTGTGAGTTTTCACTGCATGACTGTATAAATGCTTTCTAGCATCTTGACAAGCAGGTATTATTACTCCACATTTTCAGATCCAGAGAATTTAGGTAACTTGTCCAAACTTGTACAGTTCTACAGAGTGGAGTTAAATATAAATCAAACCCAAGTTTTTAATTCTAAGTCCACATTGTTTCATGGGAACTAGAAATGTCCTCACTATAACCAACATATGAGAACATATTCCTTAACTACAATTCTCTCCCAAATAATTCTCATTTACACAAAATTGTATTAAGAGCTCTCTAGTAAAAGAACATATTTCTATGTATTTGATTATAATGTGAACTTCTCCCAGAAATTATGTAAAGAGAGACAAATGAAGAATCAAACTGAATATTGTACTGGACTGCATGGCAGGGACACACAGTATTCCTATCCCTCTGTCAAACTGCATCCTAAGTCCTAACAATTCCTAGTCAGGTTTGTAGACCTTCTGGAAGCTTAGGAATTCAACTGAAGAGGAACCTGAACATTTCTTTCCATAAAGAGATATAAACAAGTGAATGAAGGGGGATTGCCAAGTTCAAGCACTAAGATATGCTGCTCCACACCCAGAATTTCAAGAATCTCTTTCAGTCAGGCATTCTTTCTGAAAGCTATGCTTAAGCCATTGGTTATGTATGAGAAGAAAACTAGACATTCTTTAATCTTACACTGCCAAAATGAGACCACTGCATTCTTTTCGGCAAGAAGATCTCACATCAATTGGCTACTGTTCAGCAAGTTTCCTGGGAATACCTCACAGGACTCTTGAGAACACAGTTGGAAATACATTGTGATACAGTGAACCATTCTCATGACTCAATAACTTTTTATCTTTTCCTCAAGCCAAATAGTTCAGAAGATTGCTTGCTATTATTCTTAGCTGCTGGGATATAGCTTCCTGTTCTGTGTTTTCATCACAGGTGGTGATTGCCGAGAGGAAAAGTTGTTCAAGAAAATAACTTGTCACAATCTAATGCATGACTCAAGTGTGGGAAGTTATTTTAAGTTAAATTCTGAAAAGAGAAAGTCTTTCCCTTGGGAAAGGCTCAGATGTACAGAGATGTGACACAGTATTAGATGAATGCCTACTATCTGCCAGGCACTTTATAAATATCATTTGATTTAGTATCACAACCACCATAGCAGGTAATTATTTTTATCTTCACTTTATATGTGAGAAAGATAAGCTCAAACTTTTAAGGAATTGCTAAAATCACATAGCCAGTGAGTAGTAGAAATGTTTGTTTTTATCTTTACTTTTTTTATTGAGGTCTAACATTCAAATAGTAATGTGCATAGACTACACTAGTCTTAAATTTGCAGGAGTGAATTTTTACATGTGTTTACCCCCATGTAACCACCATCTAGCTCAGGATATAGAAAGTTTCTGCACTGCAGGAAGTTCCTTCTTGCCTTTTTCCACTCAGTATGCAACTCTATTCTGACTTACATAAAAACATGGATTAATTATGCTTGTCTTTAAACTTCATACAAATGTAGCATGACTAGCTATCTTAGTTTGCCTAGAGCTGGGGAGTTTCCCAGATGTAGACTTTTCAATACTAAATCCAGGACAACTGATCATCTTTCAAATTGAAACATACAATGTGTTTTCTTTTGTACAACATCATGTCTGTGAGATTCATCTAGGCTGTTAAATGGAGCAAGGTTTTGCTCTTTTTATTGTTGTGTGTTATTCCATTTTATTACAACTCTGTAGTAGTCCATTATGCTGCTGATGGATATTTGTTTCCAGTTTTTGACAATCATGAATAAAGCTAATAACAATTCCATATGAGTCTTTTTTGTGGCTATTTACTCAATTCTCTTGCTAGAAGAAATGCTAACTCATAGCACACATAGGTTTTAATGGATACCACCAAAATTTTCTCAAATAGTTGTAACAATTTACACTCCTAGCAATTTATGAAAGTTTTAGTTGCTCCACATCCTCACCAACATTTGGCATGTCAATTTTTTAAATTTTAGTCATTCTTGCCATGTTGACAGTCTACTATCACAAATATTCATGCCTTTGCGCAGTCTCCTCCCAGATTGACTTGGGTCTTGGCCATGTGATTTACATCAGCCAGTGGGATATTAGCAAGTGTGACAAAAGTTAACCTTTGATAAACAACTTACACACTGGGGCTTATTGTTTGGGGACACTTGTTCTGACAGACCTGATCCACCATATAAAGATGTTTGGCTATGCTGCTAGAGAGACTACATGGAGAGGGAGAAGGGAGGTAGAAACATTAGCATGGAATACTTGGGTGAGGCCTAGCTATTCCAGCCATCTCCACTCAAGTGCTGGACCTGCTGAGTGAAGAAGCCACTTGCAATAAAACTGCAATTGCAACAAAAGCAACATGGAGCAGAATTGCTCAATGGAGTCCAGTCCAGATGAAGAATTGGGAAAAAATAATACTGTTATTATTTTAGGCCACTAAGTTTTGGAGTATTTTATTTCATAACTGCAGATCATTCTAACAGGTGAGTATATGCTAATATCTCATTTTGGAGTTCATTATTTCCCTGAGGAATGACAAAACTAAGCACCATTTCAGAAGTTTGTTGTCTACTTAGAAAATAATAAAATTTTATTGTATTCCATTTTGTCTCTTAATTTTCTCATCAGATCTTTTGTCTTTTTCTGTTGTGATTATAATATAAATCCATTACCTTAGCCTATCACAGATTAATACTTTTACCTCTTCCCAAACATTCCACGTACCTTAAAAACA